ACTCTGGAGAAGAGGTGTAAATCGTGAGCTAGCTATTTAGCTAACTGTGTCAGGAATGATCACATTTTCATTCAGACAACCTTTGGAGAGCAGTAAGGCTTTCAGGGAAAAGCTTTCCCAAGTATACCTGTCTGCAGTGAATCACAGTGAGAAACTGAAGAGGAGTGTACAAATGTTTGGCAGCATCCCTTTAGATTTCACAAGCCAAGCAGGTTTGGGCCAGGTCAGTACTTGAGTTAGTGATTCAGTGAGTGAAGTTTCTCCTCTGAGTCAGAACTGAACCCAGGCCACAGTGTGGAGTTTCAGATAAGTAAAACCAAGGTCCAGATCACTTGTCCTATTAAAGATTCCATGAGTTTCCATATGATGCCATGATCATTTCCAAGTGAATAGAACTGTTAGCACAAAGGGCCTGGCTCAATTCCAGCATAATCCCTGTATGAATCCTCTTGAGCAGATTCCCCTGAACACACTGTTCAATTTCACTTCCTGTCTGAAATAGTTCTGCAGTTGCTGTGCTCCGTTAATTGTCATGTTCCACCTTCCAAAGAGGCTGATGATGAGATCCTGCTCTGTAGTTTAAGTATGTAAAACACTTTGAGATGTTCAGAATGAAATACCAGTATAAAATAAAGTGACTGCGTGTCGCAGTTCTACTAGGATAGTCTTGGTTTTTCATTTAGTGTCTTGAGAACTTCTTTCAAGACACCTGATATGTCCCAGTTTAACTGACAGGTTTTCACAATGACAAAATATTTGTTCAAGTCATATTGCTCTCCTGTTACAAAATACTTTCTACACCTGTTTCATTGTCATCACAGAGTAAGCATGTTTAATGCCAACTATTGTTCAAGGCCAAAGCTTATAATGATTTGTCAGGCAACACCACTGCAATACGAGTCTAATGAGTCAATGTTCTAATCAAGTCACCATAAACCCCTGCTCTTGTGCCTCAGGGGGCAGAGGGCTGCTGAAGGAGATGTAACTGACAGTCCCTCTGTCTGTTGCTTCCCTCCTCTCTGTAGTCAACAGAACCACAGAGAGGAGGGAAGCAAGAAGTAGAGGGGTTCAAAGGGAAGAGGCAGAGCTGTTCCAGGTGGAGCTTTTCTCACCCAGGAGAAAAGATCAAAGAAAACAGACAGAATGCAGCGCACCGGAATATTTCACAACTGTAAAACTGTTGCCACTAATATGTCCCCCTGTTATTTTGGAAATATGATCATCTTAGTGTAAGATTATTATCATTCCACACTTCCTCATCCCCCCTACCCCAAGTCCTAACACACTTTGATAGAACCTCAATCCAACCCACACTGAAAGCACCCCAACCCAACCTCCTCTAATTAGCCCATCTGCCCCAGATGTCTGCACATCTGGTGTTCTGAGATTGTTCCTCAGAATGTAGTTTTATAAATCAATGTGTAGCGTCCTCTGGGATCCTTGAGGGTGAAAGGTGCTATATTAATATCTCATCATTATCCTTCACTGGGTTTTCTAAAAGCTGCAGGCTGGAATTAGAAACTGAATACATAGCAGGGCTTATAGTATGGTGCTTTCTGTAAAATGGATATAACGCTGTTTACTGGTAAAGAACCCACAGCAGGATGCCAGATCTGAACCTCCCAGAACTCTGTAGTAATGTAGACCTAGATTGGGACTTTGCCCCTGAGGGCTTATCTTTAGAGTGAGTCCCAATTAGAACCGCTAATTCAAAGATCCCTGAAATTTGGGAACATTTGGGTTCACATCTTAATGACAATCCTGACTTCATGCCAGAAGTCCATTTGTACTGCCTATTTACCCATCTACCAGGACATGAGGAATAGTCACATAGGGCCAGATTCCAATACACTTACACATGTTGAGTAGGATCTTGTTCCGCAAGTAATCTCATTGAAATCAGTGGGACTATTCATGGAGCAGAGCATTTCTCAATGTCAATACAGATATCAGACAGAAATAAAGGCAAAGGTGGTGGCGTAGCATTATATATCAGTGATGAGGTAGACTGTAAAGAAATAAGAAGTGATGGAATGGATAAGACAGAGTCTGTCTGGGCAAAAATCACATTGGGGAAGAAAGCTACTAGAGCCTCCCTGGGGATAGTTCTTGGGGGTGTGCTATAGACCATTGGGATCAGATTTGGATATGGACAGAGACCTCTTTAATGTTTTTAATTAAGTAAATACTAATGGGAATTGTGTGATCATGGGAGACTTTAACTTCCCAGATATAGACTGGAGGACAAGTGCTAGTAATAATAATAGGGCTCAGATTTTCCTGGATGCGATAGTTAATGGATTCCTTCACCAAGCAGTTGCTGAACCAACAAGAGGGGATGCCATTTTAGATTTGGTTTTGGTGAGTAGTGAAGACCTCATAGAAGAAATGGTTGTAGGGGACAACCTTGGTTCGAGTGATCATGAGCTAATTCAGTTTAAACTAAATGGAAGGATAAATAAAAATAGATCTGTGACTAGGGTTTTTTATTTCAAAAGGGCTAACTTTAAAAAATTAAGGAAATTAGTTAGAGAAGTGGATTGGACTGAAGAACTTGTGGATATAAAGGTGGAGGAGGCCTGGTATTACTTCAAGTTAAAGCAAGGAAAGCTACCTTATTGAGGTCAGAACATGTAGGGATAAAGTGAGAAAGGCCAAAAGCCATGTAGAGTCGGACCTTGCAAAGGGAATTAAAACCAATAGTAAAAGGTTCTATAGCCATATAAATAAGAAGAAGAAAAAGAAAGAAGTGGGACCGCTAAACACTGAGGATGGAGTGGAGGCTAAGGATAATCTAGGCATGGCCCAATATCTAAACAAATACTTTGCCTCAGTCTTTAATGAGGCTAATGAGGAGCTTAGGGATAATGGCAGGGTGACAAATGGGAATGAGGATATGGAGGTAGATATTACCACATCCAAGGTAGAAGCCAAACTCGAACAGCTTAATGGGACTAAATTGGGGGGACCAGATGATCTTCATCCAAGAATATTAAAGGAACTGGCACATGAAATTGCAAGCCCATTAGTAAGAATTTTTAATGAATGTGTAAACTCAGGGGTTGTACTGTATGACTGTAGAATTACTAACATAGTTCCTATTTTTAAGAAAGGGAAAAAAAGTGATCCGGGTAACTACAGGCCTGTTAGTTTGACATCTGTAGTATGCAAGGTCTTGGAAAAATTTCTGAAGGAGAAAGTAGTTAAGGACATTGAGGTCAATGGTAATTGGGACAAAATACAACCCGGTTTTACAAAAGGTAGATTGTGCCAAACCAACCTGATCTCCTTCTTTGAGAAGGTAACAGATTTTTTAGACAAAGGAAACACAGTGGATCTAATTTACCTTGATTTCAGTAAGGCATTTGATATGGTTCCACATGGTGAATTATTAGTTAAATTGGAAAAGATGGGGATCAATATGAAAATTGAAAGGTGGATAAGGAACTGGTTAAAGGGGAGACTACAACAGGTCATACTGAAAGGTGAACTGTCAGGGTGGAGGGAGGTTACTAGTGGAGTTCCTCAGGGATCAGTTTTGGGACCAATCTTATTTAATCTTTTTATTACTGACCTTGGCTCAAAAAGTGGGAATGTGCTAATAAAGTTTGCGGATGACATAAAGCTGGGAGATATTGCCAATACAGAGAAGGACCGGGATATCGTACAGGAAGATCTGGATGACCTTGCAAACTGGAGTAATAGTAATAGGATGAAATTTAATAGTGAAAAGTGCAAGGTCATGCATTTAGGGATTAATAACAAGAATTTTTGTTATAAGCAGGGGACCATCACTTGGAAGTAATAGAGGAGAGGAGAAGGACCTCGGAGTATTGGTTGCTCACAGGATGATTATGAGCCACCAATGTGATATGGCCATGAAAAAAGCTAATGCAGTCTTGGGATGCATCAGGCGTGGTATTTCCAGTAGAGATAAGGAGTGTTAGTACCGTTATACAAGGCACTGGTGAGACCTCATCTGGAATACTGTGTGCAGTTCTGATCTCCCATGTTTAAGAATGATGAATTCAAACTGGAACAGGTACAGAGAAGGGCTACTAAGATGATCCAAGGAATGGAAAACCTGTCTTATGAAAGGAGACTCAAAGAGCTTGGCTTGTTTAGCCTAACCAAAAGAAGGCTGAGGGGAGATATGATTGCTCTCTATAAATATATCAGAGGGATAAATACCAGGAAGGGAGATGAACTATTTAAGCTCAGTGCCAATGTGGACACAAGAACAAATGGATATAAACTGGCCATCAAGAAGTTTGGACTTGAAATTAGACAAAGGTTTCTAACTATCAGAGGAGTGAAGTTCTAGAACAGCCTTCCAAGGGGAGCAATGGGGGCAAAAGACATATCTGGCTTCAAGACTAAGCTTGATAAATTTATGGAGGGGATGGTATGATGGGATAGCCTAATTTTGGCAATTAATTGATCTTTGACTATTAGCAGTAAATATGCCCAATGGCCTGTGATGGGATGTTAGATGGGGGGGGGGGCAGAATCTGAGTTACTACAAAGAATTCTTTCCAGGTGAATCTTGCCCACATGCTCAGGGTTTAGCTGATTGCTATATTTGGGGTCAGGAAGGAATTTTCCTGCAGGGCAGATTGGCAGAGGCCCTGCGGGTTTTTCGCCTTCCTCTGCAGCGTGGGGCACGAGCCACTTGCTGGAGGATTCTCTGCACCTTGAAATCTTTAAACCACGATTTGAGGACTTCAATAGCTCAGACATAGGTTAGGGGTTTGATACAGGAGTGGGTGGGTGAGATTCTGTGGCCTGCGTTGTGCAGGAGGTCAGACTAGACGATCATAATGGTCCCTTCTGACCTTAAAGTCTACGACTATGACTATCAGAAATTGTCCCTTAAATGTCCGTGCAGTGCTGTCAAGATGTAAAAAGTTGCTGTCTTTGTTACTACTGAGCTCTGCATCTTTTCATTGGCATGATGCTCTGCATCCTCTGAAGAGAAAACAAATGAAGGATGAACCCACCTGACACAAAGGCCACTTTCTCCTTTAGTATTGGAAGGACATCAGCAGCTTTTAATCCATCATTTCGAAAAGACCCTGCAAAACAGAGGAGAATAACAATGCCAAATTAGAAGGGATTGGGCCCTGGATACAGCTATCTACACATTCCACTTCGCTCAAATCAAATAACAGAAAGTGCTTTTCTGTAATTTGTAGGCTATGAGACAGATTGCAATAGTTGAGACACAAACAGCATTAGCTTCACCAGCAATTTATTTATAAGGGGAAAGTCAGAAATAATCCACCCAGACTATCTCACTCTTCAGAGTGCTGTAGGGTCAATAACTTTTCAGTCAGGGAATCTATTTTTTTGCCTCCTTCCTTATATAGACCAGACTGTGGCTAGCCCTTTCCAGGTGCATATGAATGGAAGAGTGTGGCCTTCCCCCTATATGCCCCTGAGCAAAGCCCAAGTACAAGAGAAGTGGGCATTGCAGCTCCTGCACTAATCTAGCATCATCCCTGGTGATAGATTCACCAAAGGGATTGGGTTTATGTGGGGCCTGGCTTTTTCCCCTTCAGTTCTAGCCAGTATAGATGGGCTGACCCAAGGGGAGAGTCTGTTGCACCATTTCAAAGGGTAGAGGTCCTTGTACGAGTCCTGCAGTTTGCATGAACTTTGATGTACTGTTTACCTTCCCCTGCAGTTTCAGTGACTTCATCCCCTCAAGGAATTTCACCAATAAATCACTGATTTTTCAGTCCCTTGAAAGCACAAGAAGACATGAGTTTCCTACTCTTTCAAAAGACAAGAGCACATTCCTTATATTCCATAAGCCAATATTAATGTATCGTCCCACTGCAGGCCAGATGCTGCTATTCCATCAGCTGCTGTTGAAAAATGAGCGTTTGAAGGACATCTTTGCAGTTGCCATGGACTACAGAGCAACTGTCATTGCATAGTGAACACCCATCCTAAAAAGATAGCTGCAATACAACTTTAAATCCACCACGGTTACATGGACATAAAAGGTTACAGCGTGCACCGAAACACTTTACTTTTACCTTTAGCCTTTCTCAGACAGACGACATCCACCATTCGTCTGAGAGAAAGACAGAGCGTGGGATAAACCTCTCGCTTAGAAGCAGCTCTGTTGATTGGCCTGAAATGAGGCATTTCACTCCAGCCATAACATCTGACTGCCTTGGGTTGTTTAACACTATGTGGTTTATCTTGTCACAGCTGCTGAATGCAGCACCACTAGCAGAGGATTTTTGATTGTCTGCGATTGAATGTGGATGGAAAAAAAGCCCCTCCGAGTATTTTGTCATGTTCCATACATTATGTACACAGCAAAGACATGGGATCTTGATCTCTGCAAGTCTGTGCAATCAGCAAGTGGTGAACTAGCCCTAGCATATACAATAATACAGCAGGCTACCCACATTTTGCAAGGGCGAGATCCTTACTGCAAATTTGCAGACAGCCAGACAACTGCACCTAATTTGTACATATACTATTATTACCACCATTATGATTTACTATTAAAGATAAGTGAGTGTACAATTATAAATTTACAGTCTGTATTTGCTTGCGTAATAACCTGCCTTGCATATGTGATCATGTCTCCCTCTAGTGACTGACCCTGTAAGTACAAACGGTTGCCATTTGCATTTGAAGAAGTTCTTATTTAAGTCAGCTGGTCAAAAGAGGCCAGCCTGTGTTTGTGGTATTAAATTGCTCATATTTGATCCATCCTGATAGCAGTGATGTGTGCATAGCCTAATAAAACAAATGTGTGTATTTGGCCAGGGTTCATTATGCTGGTTCTTGTATCTTTCTTGATAAAGGAATAGGTATTGCTTGTCGGCTGAGTTCCCCAGAAGAATATAACAGTAGTTGATTTGATTTGCACTCATCCTGCACTTACAGGGAGAGGGTTTCCATAAGCTGCATCTTAGCCCCTTTCAAGGCTGTATTTGACTCTTGCACTGCACTTTAAGAACCCTGGTTTGTGGAATCCCCTCATGTCCTCACCTTTTTGGTACTCACTTCTGATAGCTTCAAATGCAAATAATTTGCATGTGTTTATGAAAATCGAGATAGAAAGGAGAGAGGTGATTTACTGCAGGTCTTAGATAATAGTAATTTAGCCTCCAACAAAATTTTAGGATGATTTATGCAGTTATTTACCTAACCCTCTTATTCAACCCTCTTATTCAACCAGGGATCTGGGGATCAAAGTAGATCACAAGCTAACTATGAGTCAACAGTGTAACACTGTTGCAAAAAAAGCAAACATCATTCTGGGATGTATTAGCAGGAATGTAAGCACGACACAAGAAGTAATTCTTCCGCTCTACTCCATGTTGATTAGGCCTCAACTGAAGTATTGTGTTCAGTTCTGGGCGCCATATTTCAGGAAGGATGTGGACAAATTGGAGAGAGTCCAGAGAAGAGCGACAAAAATGATTAAAAGTATAGAAAACATGACCTATGAGGGAAAATTGAAAAAACTGGGTTTGTTTAGACTGGAAAAGAAAAGACTGATGGGGCACATGATAACAGTTTTCAAGTACATAAAAGGTTGTTATAAGAGGATGGAGAAAAATTGTTTAGGACAAGAAGCAATGGGCTTAAATTGCAGCAAGGGAGGTTTAGGTTGGACATTAGGAAAAACTTCCTGTCAGGGTGGTTAAGCACTGGAATAAATTGCCTAGGGAGGCTGTGGAATCTCCATCATTGGAGATTTTTAAGAGCAGGTTAGACAAACACCTGTCTGGGATGGTCTAGATAATCTTAGTCCTGTCATGAGGCAGGGGACTGGACTAGATGACCTCTCAAGGTCCCTTCCAGTCCTATGATTCTATGATTCTAAAACAAATCAAAACAAATCAGAGCAAGTGATACGTTAGCTGGACATGATCCTTCTTAGGTACAGAAATAGAGAATTGGGCCAAATTTATCCCTGATACAACACCATTGACTTCACTGCGGGAAGAACTGTACCCAATGTTATCTTGCATATTTTCAGGGAAACAGTGGATCCAATACTGCAGCCTGGCCAGATTCTGCACCACTGAAGTTAACAGGACCTTTGCCACTGATATCAAGGGGTGCTGACTGGGCACTATGTGAGTAAAGGCTGGAAAATTGGGCCATATATATTAAATCAATAGGGTCTTCTTAGCTTGATGCACCAGGAGCAAAGCTCCATGGGTTCCAGAACAACTCTGAGTAACCTCCCACTGGACCAGCACAGCAGCAATACACTTGGTTTCCATGGTGATGGTACCTGCACCTGCCTCAGCACTGCACCTGTGGTAGATTCAGACCCTGTTAATGAAGATGTTACAACAGCCTATACTAGAGAGCATAGGTGCCAAGGAAGGTATGAATGGGCACAACAATAAGGGTTTATAGATGTAGGTGTGTGCATACACTTATAAAACATACTACAGTACTTTTCAGTAGTGGTCAAAAACACTGAAGAGACTGCAAGCCAGTGGGCCAACTCATCAGCCAGGGCATCAAATCAAACTCCCAACAGTATCAAATTTTCAGCCCCTTTCTTCAGGGATGAGTTTCTCTCTCAAACACCAAAACAATCCAACATAAATCATACAGGTAAACCAGGTCCTTTCCCTTGGCTCAGGGTCCACTGTAGGAGCCCACCCACTCTTTGCAGCTCTCTCTCCCAACAAAGCTGCTTGTTGGCCTTTTATCTAAGAACCCGGGACCATACTTTTAAAGTTAGAGTGCCTAAATACCTTTAAAAACTGGCCCCAGGTGACCTGCAGGCCATCACCTGATCTCTGGCCTCAAACCCATCACCTGGGAGACAGCTAATTAGTTATAAGTCACAACTCCTTTTAAAGGGCCAGCCCACCCTGTGGCAAAACACTATTGTAAGTTGTATTGTTCTGGACCACTACTGTATTATATTGTAGTCTTTTTCTAATAAGGGTTGTGGGGGAAGGATGCGTATGTGTTTAAAGGGAAAGAGGATCAAATAAGATAAAAGGCAGCCCAAAAATCAATAGCAACCCAGCCTGAGAGAGGAACCAGCCCAGCAAATATGCTTTCTTTAGTTTATAATTTATAAACATACCCATTCTTATTATTTTTAGATTAGAACATTTTCATACCAACTACCAGCTGTTTCTAATACATTGGTTTCCGATGTGTTTGTTTCCATTTCCAAATGCTTCATGTGTGCATGACAGTGTATAATTTTTCCTATGGAATCCTGTGTATACAAACCCCAGGTCTGATTAATACATAAAACATGGCACCAATAATACTTTGCATCCAACTACCACACATCTTTACCCTCACTCTGCCTTCTAAGAATGGAACTTGTCATTGGCAAATGATTGGGAGGAAGGACAGAATTGTGGTAAAAGTACAGCTCTGCACTGAAAAAAGACTGTAAAAAGGTACTCCCTAGACCAGCAGATATGCTGACTTTAAGGGCAAAATACAAATTCTCTCTGCTCTTTTCTCTTGTTATTCCTTCAGGGCCAAGACAGATAAAAGTGAGCTCAATTTCAGTCCTTCTGCATCATCAATGGAACTGTTTGCTCATTTCCAGTCACTAGCTCACCAATTATGAAAGGGAATGGGACTACACAACACTACCTCTCTCGCTCTTTTGATCTGTAGATCTCAAAGCACAGTACAAAGAAGGTTAAGTATTGTTGTCCCAGTTTTACATATGGGAAAACTGAGGAACAGCCAATGAAGTGACATGCCTAAGATCACCCACCAGGATGGAGCAGACTCCGATAGATTCCAGGTTTCCTGAGTCTTAGTCTAGCGCCCCAGCCATTGGAGTAGAAGTGTCAGTGAAGCATAATTAGTCCTGCCAAACCCTTTATTATTAGTGATGGTGTGAGAAGATCAGGTTTACAGGGTTGGCAGTTAGAAAATTTCTTCTTGTAAATTGAGCCCATTTGATATGGAGTCACTGAGAAATGACAAACATGGAACTAATCCCATAATGCTATTTTTACACAGTCACTTTTCACAGCAGAACAACACTTCAAAGCAGTCATTTACGCACCTCAAGTTCTCTGAATGGGAGATCTAGTTT